ACAGCAAAGCAAATAAAACCCAAAAGAGAATTTTGTAGTTAACAGAAAAGAAACAATACAATGAATATCAATTAAAAGAAAAACAATTTAATTAAATACATTAACCATTATACAAAGTTCAACACGAAATAACATTAGTTAAACACAAAACACATTAAACGAAAAACAATAAACACAAAACAACTAAAAAAACAAATTGTAGCTGTCCTCTATTGCCTGTACTTTTTGAGGAACATGGCTTGAATTTGTGCTTTTTCAATACTGCATGTACTTTGATGTTCTATTATTATTAGAAATTTCCCGAATGGAAGTTCTTGGGTTTTCTTCAACGTTAAGAAGAACATTGAATTCAATGTTTTCATTAAATAGGCGTTCTTGCTTTAGTTTCTTAAAAGCACCATAGTTTCTCAAATTTTCTTCAAGTCGTACAAATCTACGTGGTTCTGGAACTTCTCTGTTAGGAAATAGTTCTCTGTAAAGGCTGCACCACAATTTTTATTACACCGAAATTATACCTGAATCATGTCCGTCAATTGATTATTAATCTTATTTTGTCATGTCCGTCAATTGATTATTAATCTTATTTTGCACTGTTGAGCTTATTTCAATAAATAACCTACTGTAAATGACACAGAAAGAGTATAATGCGTAAAAAACTGGACACGAATGCTAAAATGACATTTACTTGCTTTGTTGTATTATTTTTTGTTTTCCAGGCATACATGCCAGGCAAAATATGTTTGTTGACAATTAAGCGACCGGGCGCTAATAATGCGGTATTGACTAATATTTTCATGCCTTTTCTGTAATACAGGTTTCACAATAGTAGACTATTTATACATCGTTGAATTCAGAATAGAATTCTGCACAATAAAAAAAACACATTTTTCAAAAAAAAATAATAAATATGTCCCAATAGGCTCACTTTATAGTGTATTTAGAGCCATTTCATATAATTTTTTGTTTTTTAAAATCTGACTATAAATGACGAAGTTTTGGCTTGCGGCGTTTTTTAGGAGACAGCCTGTATAAATCGCTCATTTGATTTTCCTTGCACCAAGCCAGCCGATAAAACCTATGTATGCAGCGAGGTTAAGTCCAGAGGTCTATCTATCAGATTTATTGTATGATAAATCTGCAAATCTTAGTTTTTCATTTATGCGATGTTCTAAACTGTGACTGGCATTGCATATATTTATAGTGAATCCCAATTATCGGTTTGATCTGCTGGAAACAAAAATATCCATTTTTGAATAACGTCTCACAACAAATACAAAGAACTTTTAGTCATCTTAATACTTTCGCTTCAGTAATTAATTAGAGATAGGCATTATTAGTACAAGTAAATATTTGTCCACTAATTTAAATTGATAATAGTAATTAGTATGTCATTTGTGCCCAACTTCCAATTTGTAATTTTGTGTGTTGTCCTTCCATGGAGTTGCCGTAGTTCACAGAAATAAATCTCTGCAAAACAATGACAAGGAGTTCCCGCGGGCAGTCTAGCAACAACTTTAAACTTTAATGTGACATTTTTGTTAGATTCTACCAGGAGAGGGAACGAGATTTAAATTGCACCCAAAACACCCCCCCCCCCCCCAATGGTTTATTTAAATTGTAAACACAAATAGTACTTGTTACCTGTCTTATAAAACGTATATTTTAGTAAAATATATTATATATACAGGGTGTCACGCTTAAATGTGATGCAAGCCGGTAACTTCTTTATTTTTTAGCCGATTTCAAAAATTTTTATTTGGGAATGTAGGGTAAAAAAGCTATCTAACTGTGATACTTCTGTTTTTTACTAATGCAATTCACGGCCAACTAGGAAGCGTTTTCTTGACATCAAAACAGCTGATTGGTATTAGCGTTTTTTTTTTCCAAAAAACAGATTACGTATTCTCATTCAGCATCCCTTAAAACGTCTTACCATCCAGTTTCATCAAAATTTATACATCTTCTGTAACCTATTTATTTTTTGTCCTATTTCAAAAATATTTTTTATGAAATGTAGGATAATAAAACTAATCTAACTGTGATACTGCTGTTTTTTAATTAATACAATACACGGTCAACTAATGCTTGTCTGAAGATGTATCGAAATTGATGAAACTTGGTGATAAGACATTTTAAGGGATGCTGAACGAGAATATGTAATCTGTTTCTTGGAAAAAAAATTGCTAATACCAATTATGTTTTGACGTCAAAAAGACGCGTCCTAGTTGGCCATGTATTGATTTCATAAAAACAGCAGCATTACAGTTAGTTTTTTTATCCTACATTCTAAAAAAAAAAATTTGAAATCAGCCAAAAAATAAAGAAACTACAGGCTTGCATCACTTTTAAGTGTGACACCCTGTATATATTTCCGTACTCCATATAATTATTATTGAAGGAAACTCATAGTGGAAGAAATATTGTTGATAACTTAGCAGATTACTATAAAACTAAAGAAAACAGAATTTCTACATATTAATTCACTCTGATAAGAAAAACAACTGAAATTTTTTATTGGAACTAATTTAGAATTTTCAAACCACTTAGCCCAGAAGTCGGAGACTTGTGTGGGAAAGGGGGCGGCGTATTATTATTCAGTATGCTGCATGTGCAATCAGGAACTTTTTACATTGGTAAGCCCTAACCACCATTCAGTGCAGGAATGAGGGAATCCCGGGAAACCTCATTAATTAGGGGGATGATCAAACGCCAACTGATATCAATTAGTGATGGGAGATCTCGACTGAAAAATCGTGTGGTACTCGATTATTAACAATAACAATGTTTGCTGATGATACCTCTATGATTGTGGCGGCTGCTGATACTGTCACTACAAACCCTAGTAAATGCAGTTTTTGAGAATTTTCTTAGTTGGTGTAACAAAAATTTATTAATATTAAATTTTGGAAAAACTGAATGGTTATTTTTCTCAAAGAAAAGAACATTGCCTGTCGACTTTGCAGTTTGCTCGTCTAACATGATTATTAAAAAGGTTAATGAAGTTAAATTTCTTGGGGTTTATTTAGACCATGGATTGAGTTGGAGCTATCATATTAATGAACTGTGCAAAAAATTGCATAAGGCATGTTTTGCATTGTCGCAATTAAGAAATACCATGGAACTAAAACATATAATTACTGTATATTATTCTTTAGCTTATTGCCATTTATCATATAATATAATTTTATGGGGACAGAGTTCAGATATGCAACGAGTTTTTATATTACAAAAAATAATGATTAGGACTATTTTTAAACTTGGCCCAAGAGAGTCATGTAAAGAGTACTTCATATCGAAAAGACTATTAACGGTACCATAAATATATATTTTTGCAGTACTTAAGTACGTGAAGCTAAATTTATGTAATTATCAAATAAATGGCGCATCCCATAGTCATCAAACAAGATATCGTAATCTACTCAGAGTTCCAGCGGATAAGTGGATATTGTGTAGGGGTGTACCTGTACAATAAATTGCCTGAATGTATTGGAAATATCCAGTCCTATACCATGTACAAAAACAAACTTAAGAAGTACCTTGTTGAGAAATGTCTATACAGCATAGAGGAATTTTAACAGTGTACCTTTAAATTAAATTATTTATTCTAAATGCCCAATTTTTATGTTATATTGTGTACGAAATTGACATGTATTGACATTATAAATGTTTCGTATATTCAATGTAGTATCGGTTTAAATACTGTTGGCTCTTGTACATTGTACCATGTTTTTATATTTTTGTGTGTAGGTGTGTTTGTTGGTGTGTGTATTTGTTTTCATGTTTTTTTATGAGTTATGTACTTGTAATATAAGCACCTAATTGACGTTCACATCAATTGTAAAATTGCTAAGTGACTATTAATAAGTAATAATAATAATAATAATATTGAGACCACTCGAAATATCTCGAGATGTTCACTCCCACCACTCGAGTGATTATTACCCTGTGGTTGTGCCCTTAAATGTTGCTGCATACTGCAAGTAGTCACTGATTGCATCTTTTTTTTAGTTTAAGACGAAAAAGGTTAAGGCTGGTGTCCCATGCATCCGATATCCGACGTACGATATCCGATAATATTTTAATTCGTACGAATGATAATATTCCGGTGTCCCATGCATCCGAAATCCGATGTACGATATCCGAAAATATTTTAATTCCTACGAATGATATTATTATAATTCACATGCATCCGAAATTAATCTCATAGAAATCAAGTATAGAACCATGGAATTTATTACAAGATGAAGGTGAAACATTTTCAAGTGACAACCATAAGTATATATTATAGAAAATATACGTAGTATTATATTTTCTACATTCGACATTATAATATAACATTTATATTTGACTGTAAATATATCAAACAACAATCATAGTATGTTAAAAACTTAAAAAGTGAGGTTAAAAAACATACGATTTCGGATAAAAGTTAAAATTATTTGTACTTTTTCCGACGTCGTATGAATTTTAAAAATTTTTGCTGAAAATGAGCGGTAAAAATTTGAATGTATATTAACCAATAGGAACACTTTCGGACCTTCGTATCGTTGGATTTCGAATGCATGGGACACCGGCCTAAGGTGTTCCAATATCACGTATCTCGAGTGATCACTCCATTATTAGAAGTGCTCGATTACCGATAACTTGATTATCAAAATTGCTCGATTATGCCCAGCACTAGTATCAATCTCTCACATTGACCCAAGCCAATGTTTTTCCACCCTGTCATACCTGCAGAGGGGGTGCCTAAGTATTAAAACCTTGAACTGCTTGGCCAACTCACAGGATCGACAAAAGCTTCTGCACACTATATGCTTTTTATGCCATAACAAAGAAGTTACCATTGCCTTCACGTATGCAAGATGTGCATTTAATTCAATATTCCAGTAATATCACCAGTTACCATATGCACCAAAATAACTAAAATATACCAGTGATGGCGAAAAACCATATATTGTACAAGAGGCCTTTGATTTTTACAAAAAAAACTTCAAAAAGGAAAAAATTCATTTAAAGATTTTATTGCGCAAAACGAAATAATTTTATAATGATGTTTTCACATTAGTCATTACAGCAGAAAAACCCAATATGCAACAATTATAAACTTGCAATAATTTTCCACATTAAATATTATATCAGAAGTACTCAGTTCCTAACATTTATAATTGAACTGGTCTATATAATAACAAATAAATCAGTAACAAACTTTGCACAACAAATTTGAAAGAACAGAAAGAGGTATATACTTTTCATATCTAATATGACAACAGTACCAAAAATAAAAAAAGTACGACAAAACTTTACAGGATCTTGATATAAAAAATATATTTTGTTACATTTTATCCAAGAAATGGGGTTGACCGTTTTTTTCTCTTCTACGAGTTAAGATTTCACAACCTGTCTCATTAACCAGCAGAGTGTGTTCAAATTGAGCTGACCATTGACCATCCGCTGTTACGGCAGTCCATTTATCAGGCCAAATTTCATCTCTCCAAGTACCTTCAGAAATCATGGGTTCTATTGTAAAGCAATGGCCGGGTTTCATTACCCCTATAGCACGATTTTCTACAAATAAAAAAATTTGATTCTATACTGGATACGCTACACATATTTTATTTAAAAACTACACTCAGAACAGGTTATGCAATGGCTGATTTAATAATTTAATTAAATTATAAACGTAAATCCAAATTTACTACAGAGCCATCATAAAGATAACAAGCCATGTGACCAGTCATTTTCTTTGGAATAGTCATTTTATTTCCTTCATATTGGCAAATAAATTTCGGTAAAATTAAAAGAATAAGATCAAGGTTACAATAAAACACAACATTATCTTTTACTGGCTGTGATTGGTGTAATTTTTCACGAGATTCTAATCACCCAATTAGCGATCACATTATCTCGAGCGAAGGTATAACGGTTTGTTACTGTTCATTGTAAACAAATCATTAATGTTAGTGATGCCAAAATTTAGGAATTTTTCGTTACCAGTACCAGTCGTGCAATATTGGCCCGGCGGTCACGTATCTTGGAAACATTTATGAAGGCTTTGTAAAATCAAATGTAGGTTTTTCTTACTAGCATAATGTGGTACATTAGGAGCAGTGTGGAAGAGTCTGTGTATACCATGTCCACAGTAACTTCTTACAACAGAATAACCATGTGCCTGTGCATGCTTTTGGATAACATTTCCAATTTCTCTGTACTTTTCTCCTGGCTTAACAATTTCAATAGCTTTCATTAAACACTCATGAGTCACTTTTACCAGATTTTTATGTTTTTCACTGACATTTCCAACAAAAAAAGTTTCATTCAAATCTCCATGAAACTCCTTATGATAAACAGTAATATCTACATTGCATAAATCTCCATCCTTTAAAGGCCTTGTGTCTGGTATTCCATGACAAATTACTTCATTAACTGATGTACAACAAGAAGCAGGAAACTGGTAGTAATTCAAGGGAGACGGATAACAATCTCTTTCTATACAAGCTTCATGGACAATACGGTCTATTTCATCAGTAGTGACACCAACATCGCAAACTCTAGCGGCTTCATCCAAGACTTCACGTCCTAGCTTGCAAGCTACTTTCATACCTGTAAGAAACAAACATGCTTTATTTCATTTGACTTAAAGAATATACATAGTCATAGACTGAATTTAATCGTGTAAACGAGATAAAGATACCTTCAATTTCTTCATCATCTAGAACTTTAATATGTCCAGATCCTTTAACAGCTTGTTCGCTTACAGAAAATCCTTGTGGGTGATCAGCATAATCTGGTCTGCCAATACTCAAAGGCACTGTCCGTTTCTCAGATTGAGGAAAAGGACGAAGTTTCCCTGTAAAATTGTAGTAGGGCCATGGATTATATGCAGTTTCTTTTTTTCCATCAACACTTTCTCCTTCTGAAATAAAAACAAGATATGATGATAATTACATTATTTCGTTATAATTACTCAAATAGTTAACTAATACATAATAATATTTGTGCATTTTTAGTTTGACATGACATAACTAGTCATACCTACCTAACCTACTTACTGGCTAAAGAATGAATAATTTTGTGAGTTTTCCAATTATTTTTGAAACATTCTTGGGAGCAGAAAAAAGAGCCTTGTATTCCTAATTTTATACAAGTAGGACATTGTAATTTTGCACTATTCGTACATCCAGGAGATTCACAATTTCCTAGAGTTGCCATTTTTGTTAGAACAGAAATTAGAAAGAAAAATGAATAGGAACCATAGATTAATATGAACCTCAGACTATTTATTTATTACTCTGAGATATGAACCATGTGGCGCGGTTTAGCCTTCACAAGCAACCGTGATCACTGATCCGTTGTAACCATAGCTGCTTTCTTTCGGATGCCGTTTTCGGATCTAAACGCGTTATGATCCCAAAATCACGTTCGTAGTTCGCGCCGCGCGCCATTATTCTATGGCTAGAAATTGGCCTCAATGATTTGGGATCGAGGGGGATTATCCCTCTTTATCCTGCCTCATCTCGTGTAGG